TTCCAAAATGGAGACACACCTAGAAAGCATCCTGTGTAAAGGGTTGCTATGGACCGGATCTGAGACAAACCGTATATGCTAATACGAAGGGGGTTCCCACTAGACTTATATAAGGAAGAATGCGCAACACCAAGTTCGACTAGTTGTTTGTCAGGTCTTGTGACTGTCGCATGTTCTACGCCATTCATCATAGAACCTTACAAAGGTTCCTCGAGAAATTTAATGCAGATCCCAGTGCCTTTGTTTGGTTGTGTTTAATCTTCAGGGTACCATCCCCTGCAAGAGGATCACAAGTCTTCCCTGCCTTGACCTAAAATACAATAACATACATAATCATGGAGCAACTGGGGGCACAACATCCCAAAGGCCCCCTGGACTATGGATCCCCCACCTGATGTATGGTCTATATGCAAGCTTTCTGGCTACTTCGTTCTCACCATCTTCTTATCTTCTTGGCATTCGTGCGTTCGCAGCCCCCGTGCTCCCCGTGCTGTAAAACACTCGTGCTTCTTCTCGTGCGGACGGAGGCACATGGACCGGACCCAATCCACGATGGTCTGGGTGGTCCTGGCTCAGCTGCGCCAAATACTTCAGCTGGCAGGTACTGAACCCAGCTGTGAAACCTGTGCAAGACCCAGCTGCTTTCATGTCGCTCACGCCACTTGGCTGCTGTCCTTCCTCCACTGTACTCACCCCTCTTCTGGCTCTCGAACCAAATCAGAGTTGGAAACCTCGGGCATTGCTGGTCCAAGCTGGGGCTTCTGAGTCGTAAACATTGGATGTCGTGGGGTCCATTGTCCCAAGTACATTCTGCAACATAACATAGCGTCCTTGTTCCTACTAGCTTCTTGTTACTAGTATCGATGGCCTCCAACCCAATAGCGACGGCCTCCACCCAATAGCGTCCTTGTTCCTGTCTTTGCAGCCCAAGCGCCCCTTCACATCAAACCTCTTCGCCAGCTCCTTCTCCTGATGGGCATGCGCACCGTGCGAGAATGTAATGCGCTCGTGTTGCGGGTGACCAAGCTGGGCGTTCGATGGATCTCGTCGATTCTTTCTTCCTGCTTGTCGAGTTGCTGAAATAAGACTTAAATAAGAATTGTGTTGGATGCTGCGGTGTTCCAAAGCAAAGCTCATGTCATGTAGATTACTGAGTGGGCCTTTTTGCTTAACAACTTGCCAAAGAGTACATGTCCACACTTGGGAAGGACACATGTAGATGCACAGTATAGACATATTACTGTATAAGCTTTGGCACTGTGGGATCTATATGCCCTAATTTGCCCAATGACAAAGTAAACGTCCAGAAGACGTATACCGTAACGTAGACCTCAAGTGGCTCAACACGCTGGTTTGAATCAATTCTCCTGGTCCATGGGTTTCTGTAGATTCTTGCTCCTAGTAGCGATGCCCTTCGCTCCTAGTAGCTTCTTGTTCCTAGTAGTAGGGCCAGGAGCCCCTAGTAGCGTCCTTGCTCCTGGCTTCCCTGCTCTGTATCACAGTCGGTGATTTCCCATCCCTCGCCTCCGTGGCATCCACTTTGGCCAGGGAGACCCCCTCAGTCTTCAGGGCTGCGGCAGCTTTCTCCTGAGTTCTGCTCCCTCTTCAGAAGTGCAGTTGTCCAAAGTCTTCTCTCTTTAACCCAAAAACTTGAAAAGAATCCAAATATGGCAGGACAAAGCACGGAATAGAAGGTACGGTATGTTGTTCTATCATGTTCGATTCTACCCGTATTTACTTCACCCACGACCCAGTTGGTCACAATCAAGTGCTGGAAAGTGCTGCATAGTTCCACCAACAGAATGTGGCATTGTGTCCAATGTGTGGGGTGTTCAGAATGAACATCCAGGGCAAGCGGATATGCGATGACATATTATATGACATGTGCTTTTGGCAGAAGCCACGGAAAAAATATAAGGTGAGTCACTTGCAAATGGATGCAAATCTCAAAAACTGTACTGTAGAATGCTGTAGACACAGAAATTGAAATGCAACAAATAAACCATCATACACCTAAACATAACATACCTAAACCATCCTAATTAAACCATCGCAAACCCTCAAGTAGATCAAGCCTGCAACAAAACACGCCTGCTTGGTTTTGAGATCCGGTTCGTTTGGAGACTGCCCCAGGCCATTTTTCAGTACTCCACTCAGACCTTCACGCGTCGACAAACAAGACCCACCCGGGTGGAGATCCAGTCGGAGCGACCAATTCGGGCGCCAGCTTCTTGCAGTGCCCACACCAGGGAGCGTAGAACTCAGCTAGCACGAATTTGGTCTCCTGCATCCAGATGCGTGAAGAAAGGCTTTGTGTGAAATGATCTTTTCATGAGGAGTCTCAGGTCCCAATGTGGCGAAATTGCCAGGCAGAAACATGCACACCACGAGAAGTGGTTTTTCCATATTCCTGGCACATCGATGATCAAGGATGTGGGGTGTTGCCAGGTATAGAGCTCATTAGTCACCTCACTAGGCCTTGAAAACCCGAATTGGTCGGATTTCCTGAGGGCTTCTTCCTCTTGGAAGGTGTTTGGGACCCGTGGACATCCTGTGGCTGCCTGCGAGGCATCACAGGCAGCCACACCAGCATGTTGTTCATCCGTAGGCCAATCAAGAAAACCACCAAGGAGCTTCCTGCGGCTTCTTGAACCCTGAGCTTTCCTCCCCGCTGCGAAGAGCACCAAAATGCGAAGAAAGCCCGACCTATCACGGCTGAAGTTGGGAGAAAGTGCCTCTAAAGAACCCAAACCGAACAGGAACCTCCTTCATTCGCCTCCTTCGCCGTATCTCACGCCGAAGCCCGTCCTGCAGGTGCTGATCGAAGTTCCTCAGGAGGCAGGAGTTGAACAGATTTTTGTCCTCGGGGGGGTCCCTCCAATACATCTCCGGACACAAGAGATTTCTATCGAGGCATCTTGTGGCAATCACTAGCTGTTCAATCCTTCCCCCTGCCCTTGGCCAAGGCTTATGAGCGAGGTCCCAACAGAATGTGTTCTCCATGAGGCTAGCTATACTCAGCAAAGGCAGTCCTCATTTGTTGCATAGGCTTGAAGGGATTTAAGGAGATGTCTCATACCCCGAAATGTCAGAATCATGTTTAGTTCCTGTCCCTTTCACGAGCAAACAATCAATAGCACACAGGAAATAAGAAAAAGAAACACTATGATACAAAATACAATATGATAATATGATCTGGGATCATGTCTGGTGCCTGATTCAGAATCTTTGGGTGGAAGCGGAAGAGCACATGAGTAAAAAAATGACCAAGTATCGGAATAAAGGCCTTGGATTGTTCCCATGCCTTGGAGAAGACAAGCTGTAAACCCGACGACGCGGAGGCCGCCGTCCACCGTAATTCCCAGCGGCGCCGCGGTGAGCGTCACCACCTCTTCGCTCGCAGCGAGCACCACGGCGAGCAAGGCGACCACGGCGCCTGCGGTCGAGCGGTCGCGGTCGCGGCACCCGGTATGAGCTCAGTGTGTGATAAGCCTGACAATTAGGAATTCCTGTACAAGGGGGACGGAAGGGAAGACCGAAGGGAAGACCGAAGCTACACCGAAAACCAAAACATTGCATGACCTGATTCGGCCAGCTAAAACCAAAGGCAATTAGCTAGCCTGCTGCCGCCGGGAAAAGCTCCAAAGCGGGCCGCCAGGCCCAGAACAAGTTCGGCCTGTCAAAGCCTGGACGCCACAGGGGACACCCATGGAGGTCAACTCGCGCCGCCGCTTTGGCTGCGATCTGCATGGACTCGCCACAAGCAGAACGCAATGACTCCAACGTCCGCAGGTCGGCACCACGGCGGCCTGCTCAAGGAGTTGTCGACTCTCTGCCGCAGCCGTCGCCCCCGCCGCCACGGCGAAGGCTTCCGGGAAACGAAGAGAAAAGGACGGAAGGAACACATGCGACGGACCTCTGCACGCTGAGGAGTCCGATAGGCGGCCTAAACACCTCCTCAAACCACAAAAGGACCTGATGCACCTGACAGATCATGCTTTGGCAAGGTCTGCTCCATACCGGAAGAGACATACTGTGGATTCCTATGGCCAAGTTGTTTTGCGTGCCACTTCGGGGAGGACCATCCGCACAAGCAGAAAAAAACACGCACCACACATCCATGTGGAGCAAAAAAAAGCGAGATTGGTGACTATAAATAGCGGTCCCCGAAGAGTATTCGTGGCATGGGGTCCAATACATTACTGTACTATACTGTACTATCATTGGGGGATCCACTTGTCTATCTTTTTGCGGGTCTAAACGGGTGTCTATATTTTATATATATATATATATACAATGATCGGCCAGGTCGAAATTCAGCCCATCCGCCCGCCTCCAGCCATGGGGCATGGACAAGGACGGCCGATCCCAAAACTGGTGGAACTAGCAGCCACAACGTCGGCGACGGGAAGGTCTGGATGACAAGTCTCAGTGCACTCCCTGTCCCGCAACAAAAAAAACACACATGGGCCTTCTGTGTATGAAAAACACATCAATTGCGATGATCAAACTTGATTGAACAGTATAGTATATAATGTAATTGTACTTCAATACTGCGGAAAAACATAGGAACAAAACAGTTCTCCACATCCTTAAGCGAAAAAGTTGGTCTGTTTGAGAGGGTTTTCAGCCAAGGTCGTTGGTGGTGATTTCTGGTAGGAAGGTCCCGCCTGTGGAAAGTCCGCAGGCCTAAATGAACTGGATCTTGTTGTGCAATTATCAAACACAACAATGCCTTTAGACATGTTCCTTTCTGGGCTGCGGTGAAGAGAGTGGTGCGATGAACACATGTCTCAACTGTTCATATCTGTGGCGTGTTTCTCGCACGATCAGAAGCCAACACATGAAAGCTATGGAGTCAGTTGGGCCTTTTTGCTCTCCCTCCTTAACATGTGGACCTCCTGGTACTTCATGGTCCCCCCGCCCGGTTTGCCGCCACGACTATTCGTCACCCATCCTGACACCCTTGTAGGTCTATCTGCTCGCATGGAACTCCCTGCCTCCGCTAGCAGCTGATTGAACTCAGCCTCGGGCATTCAAAAGGCTCCCGAAACAACTAGAAACTAGAACAATAGAACTTCACAGAACTATGAATTCAATTTGGTTTGGACACATTTCCAAACATGTCCAAACCATTTTCCATCTTGAACGATTGCCACATCCCGAATCCATTCGCATGATGCCTTTTGAACGGTGAGTCGCGACATTCTTCTTGAGCCAGGTTTCACCCTCACAAGCTCAATCAACAGCAACATGCGTGTGCATTGAAAAGGTATCACGGTATCACCCAAGAATCTTGATGGCAAAAGGCTTTAATGAAACTTGAGGATCTCCCTACCAACTCCGTCGATGCGAGGATATGCCAAATGTATCCAAATGTGCCCTATGGGGACCACACAACTTGTACTAGTAGCTTCTTGCTCTCCTAGTAGCAATGTCCTTTGCTACTAGTAGCTTCTTGTTACTAGTTAGTAGTAATGCCAGGAGCTACTAGTTACTATAGTAGCGTCCTACAATGCCCTTTGTTGCAATAATTTGGGTTCGCTCTTACATGCCCGCGACGAAACTGGTATCGCTTCGGCCAACTCGCGACGGCTCTTCGCGCGTCGTGTGGCTCGGTGGACTCGAAGCTCCTGGAGCCAGTCACGAGGACTCTTCCCTCGGATGACCTCGGCTGGTCCAAACGAAACGACGTTTGCACGCGACGTCCGCGGACCTCAAGCGACGATGGATGGCCGGAAGATGGTTGGCCGGAGTGAGTTCCTGTCCGGAGCATAATGGATTGCCAACCGCCGGCGAACTTGTTCCGAAAGACTGACAGACCTGCCCTAGCTACTAGTAGCGTCCTTGCTACGAGTAGCGATGCCCTTCGCTCCTAGTAGCGATGCACTTGTTATTACTACTACTACTACTACTCTTCTCGCTTGGGAGGGTGCCTTGGCCGATGGCCGAGGTCCCGAGGTCCGTCCCACCGAGCTCCTGACACCGAGCCAGCGGAGCCACCTGGGAGATCGGAGGATGAAGGTCGTTTCTCCCGCTTGGAGTCCATGAGGCCAACCCAAGGAATGACACATCCTCAACAAGTACCACTTCTCACACCTAAGGTCAAGGATGAACACATTCTTCGCCTTGACCTTGTCAGACGGTGACCGCACCTGCCACAAAAGACCTTGTCAGGCGATTCATCTCTTCTGCTTTCAGGATCTCCTTGCTGTAATACGGTCAATGTCTAGTTCAGAGTAGATGCCACAGACCCCAATGGTCGGTGGTTTATATACATGGAAACCCCTTGGACATCGTGGGGTCAGTGCCATCTACGTCGGGTTCACCCGCCAAAGGTCACCGTCACCACTGCCGTCGCCGTCCCAAGCGACATCAGCCGCCGGAGGTGGGGCGGGACGATGGTCTCTTGCCCTCCCCGACCTTGGGCAGGCGGAGGAAAAATTGGATTCGGCAAGTCCTACTTGGCTGGATGGGTGGTTGATAGGTAGTTGTAGGCTATATATAGGCTATATATAGGTTTTATAGGTAGAAATGGGCTTGGAGGCTTTCTGCAAGCAGCCATATATCAACTGGAGAACCGTGAGAACCGCGTGGAAGAGTGACATATCTTGACCCGTAGACTTTCTGCAATACACTTAGGCGGATGATGTTAGATTATTCACTTTGGTGCATTCCCAAGTCTGTCTTTAATCTCGGGTGGGTCCCCGCTTTAGACTCATAATGACTTACACCCCAACTGCACAATGGCATTCGCCCCACTCTCAGGAAGCTTCGCAGGAAAAGGGTGAACACGATTTAAAAAACAAATGTAATGTTTTTTGCTCAATTCTTCTGAGACCTGAGGTGGTCCAGTTTCTCTTCAAATCTGTTCTATCTAGCTGTTCTCATTCAGAAATGGTTAGCCCTATTCTACGTGTTCTTTGCCAGTGGGGAAACCAATATCCGACGGTCCGACAAGGCTTAAAGGATCTTAGAGGTTTACCCTTGCAATATCATATAAATTCATTCATGTAACATCGTGTACTCTGAGGCAATGCTCTCAGGATCTCTTTTGGATGCTTTCACGTTCCAAAGCCACAACTTAGGCAAAAAACGCCTGGCTTGGCTCCCTTTTTCGCCTCAGGACTCTGCTGGCTAGTTGGCAAGTATGCCTGGCGGCCGCTAGTGCCTCAGTTGGTGGTGGGTGGAATGGGCCTGAATGGGGCTGGAACTGTCAATAAGCATAAACTTGAACACATGCCGCGTGTCATGAAGCCCCTCATGCCACACATCAAACCGACCTGCGATTTGTAAGACGCAAACGCCGGTCTGCCGGAGCCCTGTGCCCACTCTGGTTCGGCCGCCGGGCATTGAAGGGCAGCTTCGTCGAGCCCAACGCCGGCAACGGCATCTGCTCCGAGGGTCCCAGGACGCCGTCACTGGGATCCTGGCGCCGTCCCGAGCGGCAACGGATTCCGAACCAGGTGACCAGTGAGCACCTGAATTGGTGTCACCTGGCCTGCCCCAGCCCAGATCTCCAGGAGCATTAAAGGATAAAAAGGGCAAGGCGATTCGTTTTTGTTGTGGAGTTGTGTTCAATAAATGTGGATTTGAATATCTTAGCGGTGATTATTTCAATCCCCTTTTTGCCATGTGTTCACCACAGTGACATAGTGGAGCTGGTTGGACCCAGCCCTACCAACACTACCAATATACATATAATGCATGATAATACCTATAGCCTGAATGACCTGGATCTGGGACCACCAACCATCCAAAAAATTGTGCTTTTCCTATCAACACACGGGTCAATTTATGGGTATTTATATATGTTAAACTAATCTTTTAATATGACTCTTGATATATCTTAAAATTAATCATTATAGTTCAAGAACGTCCCTGCCCTGTGACTGGACCTTTTGGGGTCACACATGCAATCTTCTGACCTCCTGCAGTTGCACGCCAAATCCAAAGGCCACTTGCCCTCCCAATTGCCGTTTCCCCATCAAACCCTGCAGTGTAACCTGTCCCACAACCTCTACGACTCTACCACGCGCCTCTTCGAAATCCTCCGTAGTCCCCGTGGAGGCCTGACAACGTTCCCGTGGTGGTCGAGCGTTGTTCGGGGTGTCCATGAACGTGCGACCAGGTGGGTCATGCCATCCATAGGGTAGGATTTGTATGTTATAGCCATAGCACTTGTAGCATTTTGTATAATGTTTATACCTTTGCAAACGATATAGGCAATTATGCGGACCTCTACAGTCCTTCTGGTATCTCAAGCAGCTTTCTTCCAGTGTCCCCCGATTCCTATAGGACATTATAGGACTATTATAACCAACATTTTGCAGGTTGATTCAGGTTGACGGTTGACTAAAGCTCTCCGGGAGCCAACAACGCAGCTGGTTGCTTCTCCTGTCAACACGGAACATGTCTGTGTTACCCCGCAAAAAGAGCTTGAACTCCTCTCGGGGGTCCAGCTGGAACCCGTCGAGATTTTCCGGAGATCGCAGTCAGCCCTAACCGTCGATGCAGAAAGAGTGTCCCACCTCCGTCGCTGCATCGAAAAGCACTTGGTTATCATCCGTGCATTCTCCCTGGCACCGCATCACCCCGGGGCTCAAGTTGTCGCCGGGGCGTTCTTTTTTCCTTCCTGGAATGCAAAAAAAACACACATATGAATGGAAACGGTTCGTAGTACATGTTTACCGGCTGGGGATTCAACTGGTGCACCTCAATATTTGTCGATGCATCATTGATTGGCGCATATGTTTCTGCTTGCTGGGGTGTTTGCTTCTTGGAGTATATCAGCTTATGTTGGACCCGCACGTCCATCAAACTGAAGTAAACGTAAAGTAAATACTGTAATATATGTTGTTTTGTAGCTATTGATGGTTAGCAAGCATGATTAGGTACTTCATGATTTGGGTGCACATTAGTGGCGCAACATGTGGCTCCTTGTGAAATACGCTGGTCTGGTTGGCAACTTGAAGCTTGTCTTGTTCCATATATATATATATATATGTGCTTGTGTTGGGCAATGGCAGCCATACATGACCAACCATCAAATATCTATTTTTGTGAAAAAACAAAACAAAAGCAAATGAAAATGCAAAAGCAGCGCAATTTGCTTTGTTGTTGCATTTGTGTTGCTTTTGTTTTTCTTTTTTCCTGGCACCACTTCTGCACTTTTATGAGGACTTTTTTACCCGTGAGCAATATTTGCTGTACGCTCCCAGGAAAAAAGCGAAAAAGAACAAGCAAAACAAAAGCGACAAAAAAGCGAACAACATGTGAACATAAAGCGAAAAACAGTGACGCAAAGCTACTTGTTTGCTTTACTTTTTTTGTGTGTTTTTGCTTTATTTATTTTGGCTCCTTGTATCTATGGCTGGCGCGCCCGACTCAAATATATGCAAAAAAATCTACAGTATAATACGATATATATATATATGTGTGTGTGGTACTGCAAGAACTGCTTAAGTTCTGAACTTCCCGTCATGCGATTAAGTGGTCGTCTGTGCTTGTGCTACAGTTCTACGTGATCGATTCACACCAAAAAGTGGGCGGCACCTACACTCAACTGGTCCGCGAGATCCGCGTACCCCCGAAAGGCCAGGCCGGTCGACTCGAGCAACAAGTGCCAAAAATGACAAACCGGATTACACCTTGGGCCGACAAGGAAGCTCGGGAAAAAACATTAAACACACACATGTTCCGAGGATGATGTTCTTTAAAGATCTTTAAACTAAAGTATTGTTTCGGAGGCAAACACCAAGCCGTCCAGTCCAGTCGTTTCTTCAAGGCGTGCCTGGTGCCAAGCATCCCAAAGCACCAAACATATCCAAATCACCAAATCATACAAATTCAAAAACATGCACTTAGGCTCCGTCAAAGCTCCAAACCAGCGTAAATACCGGCCCTTATTTCCCAACCACTCTAAACTCTGCACAAATGCAGGCATTGCTTTGTGTTTGTTTCATCACAGGCTCCCCTCTTGCAAAAGCATTTCAGGGGCCTCCATGCCCTGGGGCCGGCGATGGATTCATGGCACAGCTCAGCAAGCTCGAGTCTCCAGTCTCAAACACTTAGCCCGCCTCCTCAACCCATGGAACCACCCGTCAAGCTCCCTTCCATACATGTTGCCAAGCACCTCCTCAAGACTCTCAACGAGAATCTCGCTCACCTTCAAGACTACAGAAACTGCATGGTGTGGTAACAAATGCATACAACTGAATACCAAAAGCAGCTGGAAGTAGAAAAGCCCAGGCATGGGGGTCGACGTCATCAGACCTCCGCGTCGACGTCGTCGGGTCGCCGGTCCTGCCCCGTAGCAGTCCGACCGGTCCGACGCGTCGGGCCTCCCTGGCCGCGGCGAGATTCAGCGACTCGTCATGGCCTTCAGACGGATGGAGAGGGGAGTTGGAGTGATGCTCACTGCATCCGCCAAAGCTAAGAGTCCATGACCAGGTTAGTATAGATAAACTGCATGCCCCCCCCAAACTGCAGGATGTTTCAAGAGTGGGTGCTTCTAGGCTTAGGTTCCGAACTAGGGCCTAGGGGTCTGATTAGTGACCAAGAAAGAAGCGTGAATAGCATAGCGTCACCATTCATAATACACTTATGTCTAAATGGATGTTAATATATTACAATTCTTCATGGCTGTTAGTGTGTATATTATAGATATTAATGATTGGCTTATTTGAGAAGTGGGAGGAGCACAGTGCGACCGTCTTAGATCTATTATATATTCATACATGGGGTCAATCCAGCCCGTATACTGAACACACATGGCCAGTCTGTGCAAGTCTGTGCTCTGTCGGCATCACCACCCCATTATGTTCCTAGACTGAGATCTCAAAATCTCAACTCAGTGGATTGAGCATGAGTTAGGGAAGACAACAAAACAAGTGCTGTGCCAGGTGGCTTTCGTGCATCTGACCAGCGATGGACAGGAGAACTAATGGTCAACCCGCAGGACACTGTCTAACAAACTGACATGAACCAAATGAAGTACAAAACATAGTCAACCTAGCATAGGCATGCATAGGCCATTGGTGGTACTGAGCCCACACCCATATCTTTCACATTCCTTCACTACGCCTTCTTAGCCTTTGATTCTGTAGACTCCGCTTTGCGGATCCGGGCCGGCACCCGTCATCTCGTCATCCGCGTATCTGGTGTAGAGGCGGATCGAAATGTCTTGGCTCTTCACGAGCCCTCAAAGTTCTAAAAGTTTGCCCCAAGGCGGAACCGGCAGAATCTCCAACTGGAGGATTCATTGTACCTGCTGCGTGTTTGAATGCATTTGGCCTCAATCTCCAGGTTGAAAAGCAAGTATTGCATATGTCTTGATGCCAGCATAGGCCCCAAACAGTATCCGCAGAATCTGTTTGCATCAGTTCCTTGAACCTCATTCTTGGTGGAAAGGTGTGCGCTTATGCTCCTGTGGCCTCCAGCTTTTTGACACATGTCAACAAAAAGGGCCCACAGCACCCCCCCGGACAAAGCCTGGACAAGGCCCGGACAAAGCAGCGCAGCCAAGCATGGACACACAAACCCGGACAAGGCGGCGAAGCACGCGGCCACGGCTATGGCGACCCCTTTTTCAAGGAACCCGAACAGTAAACTGTCTGGGGAAAAGCTGAAAAAATGCGGTGTCCTTCAATGGCATTAGCAGCACCTTGGTCCCTAAACCCTCGAAGTATGAACTATCCCCTCGGTGTGTTGGTGATTTCTCGTGCTCAGAACCAAACACCTCTCGACGGACAGAATTGCAGGCCTAGATGTCCAGTTCCGACCAGGCGCCCAAAACCGACCATCGACCCCACGACTGCTAGTTGCACTGGAATGCAAGGCAAAACAACGAAACAAAAAACGTGTCCTGCAAGATATGCCACCGTCTATCATCCAAATATATCCAAATGCAATGAAAAGCATCCAAATGCCTCTTTGGATTCCAGTGTGTTGGAGAGCAAGCCCCTTCCTTCAGTCACTTGAAGTTGGCTTAGGAGAACGTCGATGAGGAACGGAACACGCAC